AGGATAGGGGTTATTTCCGGGTGAAGGGGGAAGACTGTAATGGGGGGGGGATGTTTCTGGGAAACCCAATTTTCCTTAATCTGGGAAGTAGTTATAATCATATGTTAACCTGTACATATGGGCTGTTATGTTTTTTCTGTATTATTTATTTCTTTAGAGAGAGAGCACATGCATGTGAGTAGGGGAGAGGGACAGAGGGAGGGAGGGAAGGAGAGAGAAAGACAGAGAGAGAAAGAATCTTAAGCAGGTTCCACACACAGCATGGAGCCCAACACAGGGCTCAATCCCATAACCCTGGGATCACGACCTGAGCTGAAATCAAAAGTCGGCCACTCAATCGACTAAGCCACATAGGCGCCCTTGTTTTTTTCTGTATTTTTATCCCACAATATAAAGTACTATAGAAATAAAAAACAAGCAGTGAAATACAAGTAATTTACAAATGCACAGGTGAAAATAAGGGAGGTGAAGCTGAGCTCTGGGATGTTAGCAGTGGCCCTGGGCCTGGAAGAGACAGCAAGGCAGGGCCAGGAGCCCCATAAACCGGCTGATCAACGAGAGGCCTCCCCGTGGTCCAGCTCCAGGCAGCAGCCCCTCCACCACACCCTGAAACCTCCTACCAACTGAAGCCCACTCCCAGTTTTATTAAATGTGTGTGTTCATGCATCACTAAGCAATTTGGAAAGATATGCGCTACATGCTATTTTCTTCTTCATATACTTTTGCATTTTCTGATTTGTTTTTATAATAAGGTTTGAAAATGAGAAAATACAGTCACGTGTCAAGGAAGTAAAGCAGTACAGTTTTTTGTGTTTTGTTTTGTTTTTAAATTTTTTTTATGCTTTTTTATTTGTTTTTGAGAGAAAGAGAGAGACAGAGCGTGAGCAGGGGAGGGGCAAAGAGACACACAGAATCTGCAGCAGGCTCCAGGCCCTGAGCTGTCAACACAGAGCCTGACGTGGGGCTTGAACTTGTGTCCTGAGCCAAAGTCGGCCACTTAACCAGCTGAGCCATCCAGGCGCCCGAAAGCAGTATAGTTTTGAGATCAAATATGGGAATGAAGAGGTCTGGGGGTAAAGCCCTCATTTTGTCCTTCAATTGCTAAAAGACTTTCGGCAAGTCCTTCCCCTGTCTAGGCCTCCATCTCCTCATCTGTTCAGTTAGAAGGGTGTGCCAGCTCTTCATCCCCAGTCTCCACCCACCCATTTTCCTACCCTGCTCTGCATCCTGAAGGTTGGCTCTGTGGACACCCTTGTTGGCTGGCTTCTGGTAGTGGAGGCTGGAAGGCAAGAGAGAAGTAGGGGTGTTTCCTCCCTGCCACCTTCCTTCTTTGGGTCTCATTTTGAGCAGTAGTCAATTATTATGAATAACCATGATCATAGTCATGCGGTTCTTTATCCCAAATTGTTTCAAAGACATGAGATATGTGAGAGGCAGGAAAAGCATTTGATGGGCAATCCAAGATTTTTGTAACCTTGGGTACAATTAATACAAGAGGCAGGACTTCTAACCCACAAATAAAACTGACTCAAGAAAACATGGCTCATTAAAAACAACAGCACTTAGGGGCGCCTGGGTGGCGCAGTCGGTTAAGCGTCCGACTTCAGCCAGGTCACGATCTCGCGGTCCGTGAGTTCGAGCCCCGCGTCAGGCTCTGGGCTGATGGCTCAGAGCCTGGAGCCTGCTTCCGATTCTGTGTCTCCCTCTCTCTCTTTCATTCATGCTGTCTCTCTCTGTCTTAAAAATAAATAAACGTTGAAAAAAAAAAGTGTTTAAAAAAAAAAAAAAACAGCACTAACAAAATGACAGAAGTAAGACCGAACATAATAGGTGCCACAATAAATGTGCATAGATTAAATTCAAGACTCAGGATGGACCCAAAACCAAAATCCAAATTTTTAACCAAAAAGTGAGATTTTCCCGGTGTTCCACGGTAGCGTGCTAGAGGACCCAGGAACACTAAATCCCACCCTGCCATCCACTCTTCCTTACAAAGTGCCCAAGGCACAGACTCTCCAGAAACAAAGGAAAATGGTAAACAAGTTTCCACATTATTATGATTGGGCGTGAGCCCTAACCACATGTTCCATGAAAACCCAAATCCAAATCTGACAGCCAGCTATTCTAGTGGACCCCTAGAACAAAGTCACCAGTACCTAGATTGCCACATATAGCAAGTAAAAATACTGGATTCCCATTTAAATGCAAATTTCAGACACACACCAAGTAATTTCTTAGCATAAACATATCCCATGCAATATTTAGAACATACTTGCACTAAAAAAGTGTCACTGTTTATCTGGAATTCAAGTTTAACTCGGTGTTCTGTATTGTATATAGCTACCCAGCACACCATAGCAGGTGAATCAGAAAATGAGAGCCGAGGAAGGGGAAGCTGGCACACAACCCCCACCCTGCCACACGGCAGGGGGGATGCGGAAGATGAGGAAGAGTGGATTTATCAATCTGCAATCTGGCCAGCGCGGTCAGCAGCTCCTCCCGGGGAGGTGTCAGAGCAAGCAAAGGGCAGTGGCTTCCCCTCCCCGTACTCACCTAAGTGCTGTTTACGAAAAGCCCACATGCAGTGAAATGCCACGGAAAGGTTAAAAGTGAAAGGATTTCCAGATGACTGACAGTGGTGTACTCTTAACTGCTTTTTTGCCAGATGCCTGCCGAAATGGTCAAAGGAAAAACACAGAAAAATCTGTATTAGTATATAAACCAGGGGGGAGCCCAGACCACATGCTAGAATCCTTCAAGTGAGACATAATGCTAGGAAAGCCCACCCAGTGAAGCGCTGGCTAGTGGTGTGCTGGGAGAGCTGGATCTTGCCAGCTCCTTGTGAAACCACTGGTAGCTACAGTGGGAGAGTTCATACCATGGAAATCAGCAGATGCAATAGGTTGGGGACTTTTTTTTTTTTTTTTTTTTTAAAGAACTGGTCATTAAACATTTGTTGGACTGGCTGTGCCGTAAATCACCAAATAAGAAGAAATAGATGTGTGAGTAAGCTGAAGGGACCCTGAAGCAGAGGCAGTCAGCGCCCCTCCCATATGCATGGTCCCATGCATGGGTTCCCCTCCCATATGGAAGGTCCGGTATGTTCTGCCTAACCTCCAGTCTCCACATCTATTTGTAGTACCAAGACTGCCCATGCTTGGAAGGTCAGAAGGGCCAAGGAGCTTATAAACTCCCTGACATAGCTGTCAACAGATGAGTCTCATGGAAGTCCGGGTATACGTGTTCCAGCTCCCTGACCCCTTGGGTGGGGCAATTCCAGGTTGTGTTTTGTACCATTCCCCATTATTTCCCCAAAGGCCTTCAGATGCCCACCGAGGTAGCTGGATTAACCACTCACACTTTAATCTTTGCCAGCCTTTGCTAGTTTCCATATATATTTTTCTGAATACAATTTTTGCTTGGTTTTCTTATTATGGAAAAATATGTGCATTGAAAGCTTTAGAAAGTACAGAAGACATACCATGACAGTGTTTGTCTCATTCTTTTAAAATATTTATATACGCATACAGATATATCTCACTTCCCCGCTCTCTAGAGACTTACCTGAAGACACTACTTGAGTCTGAATCCTTATCTCAGGCTCTGCTTCTGGGGAAACCCAAGTGAAAACAGAGCTACATCTCCAGCAGGACTCCATGCAATGGACAAGCTCAAAGCAATAAGGAGTAGGAAAGCTAATGCTTCAGAGCAGCTGTAGGGGACCAATGCTTGGTGTTGATGTTAACCCTTGGCTGGGTGCTTCAGACAATTCAGCCTCCAAGGTAACAAAACAAAAGGACAGCAAATCCTATCTGCGCTGAGACTGGTACAGCTTCCTACGGAGATACATAGACATCCTCCACTGCAGTGCCCCCTTCTGCAAAATGAACAGAGAAGCAACAGGAACTCAAGAATGGGCTCAGAGGTCCAAAGGAGGGGCCTGAGTACTAGGACCTTTCATAAATAGTTGTCCCTCAAGGAATAAGAATAGACCTTAAAACAAAATTCTCTGAAATACTTTCCATGGAAAACTGGCTGTTCAAGACACTATGAGGCGTTAAGAGAAACTGAGGCTCAGAAACACTGAGCTAAATGAAGGTACACAGTCTGTTTTACCTAGAACTTCCTGGATCATGTGGACAGACACGGCAATTCCCCAGGAAAGGGATATAATATTCCAGCTCCCTGTAGGACTCATGTTCCAGCTTCACGTAATAAATACATACAAACAGAAAAGGCATTTAATTCAAACACCTGTAAGGAAATGACTAAAACTGGTGACATTCAAGGCCACAAGGAAACCTCAGAGATACTAATGAGCAATCCTCTTTGGTCACATTATCTGACCACAATGCAATAAAAACAGAGATTAAAAACCAAAGGATAAATGAAAAAAATTAAATCACTTGGAAATTTATTCCTAAATAACTCAAGTCAAGGAAGGGAACAAAACTGCAATTATAGGCCATTCAGAACATAATGACAATTGGATCTCTGCATAGCAAAACTCATGGAATGTAACTAAACACTGCCTGTAGCTCTAAATGTTTTTGTTATAAAATAAGGAAGACTGAAAGTAAATGAAGCATCCAACTCAAGAAGCTGGAAAATAAGCAACAAGATAAACTCAGGGAAAGAATTAAAAGTTAAGGTAAAAGTTAATGAACTAGAAAACATAAAAATCAGAACTGGTAAATCAAAGACTCTGCTCCTTGTAAAGAGCTGTAAGATACCTAGACTTGTAAAATCCCAATAAAGAGAGAGGGCAGGGAGCATGAAAGAGAGAGAGTACAAAAAAATAAATAAAAATTAGAAAAGTAAAGGAAATTTAACCAAAGATGCAGAGAAGAGTTTTCAAATTATAAGAGATAAACAATACACACAGTATCCTAGTTTATCTAGAATGTTCAGTGGGGAATGCCTGTATATCAGTCTGCTCAGGCTGCATAACAAAATACCACTGATTGGGTAGCTTAAACTACAAAAGTTCATTTTCTCACAATTCTGGAGGCTGGAAGTTCAAGATCACGGTGCTGGCAGGGTTGGTGTCTGGTGGGATCTCTCTTCCCGGCTTGCAGATGGCCACCTCACCATGTCCTCATATGGCCTCTCCTCTGTGCTCCTGTGGAGAGATATCTCTGCAGTCTCATTCTTTTCTTATAAGGACACCAGCTCTACTGGATGAGGGCCCCACCCTTATATCTCATTTAACTTTAATTACTTCCCTAAAGGCCCCTACAAATACCATCGCATTGAAGATAGGGCCTCCACACATGAATTGGGGGGGGGCAGGGGGACACAATTCAGTCCCTAACAGCATACTTTTCTAGATAAGTGAGAATTGCCAAGAGAAGCAGAAAACCATGGAACCAAGGTGAACATGGACATAGAACTATTTCTCAAAAGTGTTAGGAGTCCGAGTGTTTAGTAGACGAAGTTCTTTAAAACTTTCCAACAATGTTCCTAGGCTGTTTAACTACCCAGAAAGCAGAAAAAGATAAAATGTGCTCCAACTCATCTACAAATCTAGCACAGCCATGATACATAAACCTGACAGAGATAACCAAAAACTTCACCCAGCCTGGCATCTTAACAAGATCCCAGGCGATTCGTATGCATGTTACAGTTTGAGCAGCACTGTACCACGCAACAGGGAGGGTTTTCAAAATAAAGTCCTCAAGTCAAAGGGGCTAGCAGGAGCCCAGTGGGCTGAGACCAGGGCAGCCTTGAGCAAAGAGCAGCCGGCAGAGGACAGCATAGAGGAAATCCCGGGCCAGAATTCGAGTTCTCAGGGGGGATATCTAGGCTGTCCACACCTGTCTGCTGGACATGCAGGGAGACACTGGGAGCCAGAAATGGAGTGGACAACACACCCCAGCGCCACATACACATGACATGAGTTTGGCATGTTTGGGATATCCTTACATACTGAAGGATGTTCCCAGAGCAGAGGGCACAGAGTTCACACTGACATGCTAAGGGGTATGAGGAGGCTGCTTGGCTCAGCTCAGTGTAAGAAACCCACAGCAAAACTCTCTAGGGAGTAGGGAGCTCCCTGTCACCATATGACCATCCTCCAGGGATGTTCCAGAAGGGATGCCAGCCCTGGGAGAGAAGCCAGTCTTGATGTAAGATGTCCTCCCAAGCTTGTGACTCTAATCCTCTAATGGCTCCATCCCTCCCCATAATGACAAGTGATGACTTGGCTGGCCAAGACACACCAACTGTTCATTTTCAGAAAACATTATTCCTGCATGCTCCACGACCTTCTCTCTCCACGCCTGCATTACCATCTGTCGGTAGCACCTCTCAAGATGGTAAGTGCGGGAGGGTAATGAGCAGAATCTGACCTCACTTGCATTATTTGTCATGTAGGTGCAGACAGGCCCAGAAAGTGCCGCTCAGATAGGTGTGTCTGCAGCCCTCGCTCCCTTCAAGTTTCCATGGTGAGCAACCTGTCAGGTCCCAGGCTCAGAACAGATTCTGGGAGAAGGCTGCAGGCTTGCAGACCATTCAAGATGTCCATTAGAAGCATTATCAAGTCCAGTCTTCCCTCTCTCCATAATGGACTAAATGCTGGCCTGCCACACTAATGGGTACTTGGCCACAAAGAAGCCTGCAATAGCTAATGCCCCATTCCTTATTATGTGGATTTCAATGACGGGTGAAGTGCTTTCATTATCATCTCCATTTGCAGACTTACACATGCCTGAATTACTCAGTGTCTGGGTCAGCCCTGGTCATAAGCATGAAAAAGGCTACGGGACTAGGAACTGAAAAAGCATTGTAAGCATCGCCCACAAACTGTGCCAGGCTTTGGGGGAATGGAAGAGCAGATACCAAACCACATGTTAACTCCCAGCAGGGCCAGTGTCATACCTCCTCCAATACTGGGTTGCAGGGTTACAGAAAATGGGCACTCTATCCCATAAATGGAATGGAAGTTACAGTTTACCAAGGACACCTTCTCAACAAAGTATACCAGGAGCTATCCCTAGGGGGATGGGGAGTAAAGGGGGTACAGTGAGCACAACTCCATGAGCCCCTCATTCCTCACAGCAACAGGTTGGTTGGAAGCACTAGAATGCCCAGCATTCTAGGGTAAGTTCCTGCCAGAATGCAAGCAGCCCCCAGTGAGCACTGACCAAGGTGTTTATCCCCCACTCTAAGTTAGGACTTTGGGTTTTCTCCCTTGGAGATGGAGGGAGTATGTTATGTGTGTGTGGAGAAAAGGGAAACAAATATTGGTGACAAGGAGACACAGGACGTTCTTAGGACTTTTTTTTTTAAGATTTTATTTTTAAGTAATCTCTACATGCAACATGGGGCTCGAGCCCACAACCCTGAGATCAAGAGTCACACACTCCACAGACTGAGCCAGTTAGAACTCTTGACAACGTTCCTATTCTCCTCCTTCTGGGTACACAATAAGACTGTACCTCTTTGACCAAGAGTGTAGTGTGGCCAGAAGGCTCACTCAGGACAATGAAATGTCGGCGGAAGTGACATGTATCATTTCAGTGGAAGTACGAGAATAAGGTAGAAGCAATATTTGAAGAGACAATGACTGAACATTTCCCAAAACTAATGAAAGACACTAATCCACAGATTCCAGAGGTCTAAAAGTAAAAACAAAGAATAAATAAAAAAGAGACCCACATGTCAACATGATAGTGAAACTACAGAAAAACTAAAGAGAAAGAAAAGTTCCTTAAAAGAGACATGAAAAGAAACAGATTACCTTCACAAGAAGTTGGGTAGTGGTGGAATTCTGAATCCTCAACCCTAGTGGAAGCTGGAAGAAACTGAACTCCGCTTCAGTGAAGAAAGGAAAATAGCACAACTATACTCCACAAAGTTATTCTTCAAGAAGGAGGATAAGATAAAGACGATTTCAGACAAACAAAACCAAAAGAGTTCATCAGGAGAACGCTCTAAAAGGTAAACCTCTAACGGAAACCAAGTGATCCCACGTGGCAGGTCTGAAATACAAGCAGCAGAGAGAAGTCAACATGAGGACAAGTGGCAACAAACCTGGACCCTGTGGAATGACAGTAGCAATGCTGTCTGGGCAACTTTTTAAAATTAGGCTTAAAATAATAACATAATAAGTCAAGAGGAAAGTGTATATAGAGAAAGTCCTGTACTACTTGGAAAGAGGATGAGACTTTTATGAACTTTAAACCTTGGTAAGTTATTTACGAATGTTTCAATCTGTAAAGTAACTACTAATGATTAGAGAATGTGTAACTTACAAAACTGTGGGGGAAATGGAAAGAATTTTTTTAAACTGTCTATCTAAAATTAGGGAGGAAGAGAGAAAAAAATCAACCAAAGAAGAGGTCAGGAAGCACAATATAATAGATTTAAACTCAAATATATCAGGAATTACTTTAAACATACAAGTTTAGAAACAGTTAAATGACAAAAGACACGTCACCAGCAATTGTGAATGGCAGCTTTCCCCAAAGCTACCCCACCTCTTGAAAGCGATGGACAAGTGGCCTTTCACTGATGACTCCAGCTGCCCATTGTGACCATTGACGACTGCTCCCTGACATCACACAGTATACCTCTAGGAATCAAGCAGAGCTGGCATGTACCCTCTTCACCTTCCTGTGGGGCTGCTGTGGTGTTCTGGCTCTCGCATGTGCTTTATACGGTTCTTCTGTGTAACTCTGCTCTCTGTGCAGCTGCCCCCGACAGTTCCTTGTCCCTTTCCTAACCCACCACTTGTGGTTGCAGAGCACCGGAAAGAATGAGTTGTTAAGACCTTGGCCAACAGAGTTCTAAGGGCCAACTCTGGGCAGAGGACAGCTCCATCCTCCTTACCAAGGGCTCTTCCAACAGGGGCGTTTCATTTTCAATCTGGGAAGTGAGCTACTCTGCCTCAAGAACAGTTTCTCATGGAGCCAGAAGCCTTAGAAATTTGCCCTTACAACCCGCACCACCGAGTGCCACTCAGCAGATTTCAGTACCACCTGGCATCCTGCAGGAGAAAGAACCCCAAGAAAGCCAAAAAGATGGCCAGCTGCAAATACAACGCCTGCCACGTGGTCCCCATCAAAAAGCTGGAGGAGCACGAGGCTGCCTGTGTCAGCAGAAGCACAATGGAGGAAGAGGACAGCCTGTGCCCCCTGAAAGTTAGCCTTCCAAGTTCAGAGCAGAGTGGAAATATCCCTCCAGAGCGCCCCTGGCTCCCCAGTTCTGATGTCTGGAATGTCGACAGCACTAACTGCCATCCCACGTTTGTCCTTAAAACTTTTGTTCCCCAAAAGCTTGTTTGCGAAAGTGACATAAGAGAGTCAGAGAGAGACAGACAGGCCCATTCCCCAAGACTGACCACCCCCCAGAAGACTCTCAGACCAGGAGGATAAACCACCAGCAGCAGAAAGGAGCGCTTGCCTCTTAAATGCCGGAAAGGAGATGCAACTCCCCAGAATAAAAGTGCGAAGTGAGCCACCTGGGACACCTCGTTTTTCATGAAGCAGTTGGTAAAGATCTAAAGGCTGGCAGGACATTCTGCTGGCAAAGATGGGGCAAACAGGCACTTTCGTAACATTGGTGAGAAGGTAAGCTGATAAATCTCTGCGGAGGGCAATTTGACAGAAGCTGTCAAAATGACCAGTGTGCTCTGCTTCGATGGCGCGATTCTACTTCCAGGAATGCACCCTGTAAATATATTCACACTTGCAGAAGAAGAAGTGAGTGCAAGGTTACCCACTGCCATGTTATTTGTAGCAGTAAAGGTCAGTCAGAAATGATCCAAATACCTCTTGCGAGAGGGTTTGATTAAATGAATTACGGTGCAGCCATACACAGAAATAGTATGCTGCCATGAGAAAGGGTGAGGCAGCGCTTTCAAAACTGGCTTAGAAAGGCTGAAACATAGTGTTTAACTCAGACACCAGCAAGCATTTTCTCTAAAAGGCCAGCGAGCAAACAAAAAAGGCCAGAGGCTTTACAAACCACATGTTCTCTGTCACAGCTGTTCAGCTCTGCCTTAGTGGCATGGAAGCAGCCACAAACAATATGTAAACAAATAAATATAGGTTCCGATAAAGCTATTTATAGAAACTCGTAACAGGCTACATTTGGCCTGTGGGACATAGTTTGCCAACT